TTTCCAAGACACTGTTTAGGAGCTTTTCACAGTTCTTCATAATTGTTTCAAAGATAATGCATTATTTAATCCTAAGATTCAGCCCCATTTCCATAACATTTTGCCAACAAAACATGCGTTTCCACTTTGGATGAGTTGGCAACAAAAGATGTAGTAGCTCTTCAGTAGTTGACAATTAGTCAGGAGTATTTTAATATCCTCAAGATTTCTCTTGGGTATTGGATAACAAATAGATTATGCATGCACATGAAAGTGATGAAGATTACAAAGGAATTTGAGAGGTATTATGTAACAGCATATCTGATGATAGTTAAAATGCCGCCTTGCCTGAATATTTGGAGCCAACAGGCTTGGTTGGTCAGTGAAGAAAAGCACCATTCTTCCTATTTCTTGCTTTAATAATATTCTCCTCTCCCGGTGAATTGTATCACACAAAACTAATGCTTGTTCATGCACTTCACTGCACATGAACCAACTCAGAAACATCATTCTTACTGCCAATGGTCCCATGAAACTAAGGAGTTCAGATATATTAGAATAATTAAGATTCTGTAATATACATGAGAAAATTTATTAACATTTATTAAATTGTAATCATTTGTGCAAATCTGATGAGGAAACTTGTAATCATTTATTGTTGTAGTGCCCGAAGACTTATACCTTATGGAGTTCTGTTTTAGGGCTGCTGGGGCTGAATTGGGTTATGGCTGAGAACGTGAGCAGTGAATTGTGGGTCTGGGCAGGTTTTTGTTAAAAGAATAGGCATTTATTTCTTATTCCACTAACCATTTTTTGGGTTGTGTAGAAAGAAAGGAACGCAAGAGCTTTTGAGAACAATGAGACTAACTTTACACATGTTAGAGATAGATGGATACACACTTTTGATTCTATTTTATTAGGTCATGACATCAATGATTGGGCGGATCTTGAGATTGTCATTGACCACTTGATTGACTTGTAACTAGTTTTTATACTTGGGTGATATTCCCTTGGTATCTATGTAAATAATATTACTTCTCTTTTCTTTCAAAAACAAAAATTATAAACAAAACACTGCTTCAATTAGTGGTACTAACATGTGAAAATTTTTAATACCTTATCATTTTCTCGACTTGCTTAGCCACACTATATTCCAGATCAGCATCTTTTTGCTTGATTCGTCCAGATTTTGCCATCTTCTTTGATTCTAGTATCCGGGGTAAAACATACAACTGGTAGTCCTCATGCACTAGAATAGACTGCATGTTCAAGATTACATGTTAATCAGCTGCTCAAATGTATGCCTTTTCTTAAATGATCATTTTTTGGTTTTTTTTTTTTGAAAAAAAAAAAGAAAGATAAACTGACCTCATCTCTGAACAATGTAAGAACTAAATTCTCTTTAAGTACAACCTGGAGTTCAATAGAGGGAAAAGAAAACTGTAAGAAGCACTCTCGATATGATACAAAGGCAGGAAAAATATGCAAAATTACTCTAAGCTTTGAGCTAATTACAAGAAAATGCAGGTACTTGAGTAATTAACAAGATATGTGGCACTTTCTTCTTAAAAGAAAAAAGTTATGGCACCACCATTTGTCACATCCAAAAGCCTGAATAACTTGAATGTGATAAAGACATCTGTGAGAACTATTTAAGGGATACTTTATAGAGACATACTAAACAAATTTTCGCACATCTAGCTAACAGCATGATGCTTAAATATAAAATTTTCAGCACCCTACACTTGCAAACTCTTCATTGGACTTGCCATCTGTACAATCCATGTGAGAATGTAGAAGTAGGTCAAGAGTATATTGAATTCGCACTTGATCATTTATCTGAAAGTTCTCATTTTTCTTGTATTTTGTAAAAAAATACTTATTAATGTAAATCTAATGCATGAAAACAGAAAATTAGAATCATGAATTGTGTTGCTGTACCAGAGCAATATCAATGCTAGTGACACGAAGCAACTCATCAGGGCAAACAAGATACCCAAGTAACACCCACTCCCGATAAGAAGTAACATTTGCAAGATCTTGGGCTCGCTACAAGAAGAGAAAAAAAAAAGACAAAAAATATATGAGTAAACACCACAATTAACACAAGATTCTAAAAATATATATTAGTATATTTGGCACATCAAAACCATTTCAGAGTTTAAACTCTCGCAATAAGATAATAGTATCTATATATACTGGCACATCAAAACCATTTCAGAGTTTAAATTCTCACAATAAGATAATAGTATCTATATATACTGGCACATCAAAACCATTTCAGAGTTTAAACTCTCACAATAAAATAATAGTATCTATATATTTACCATGGGGTGAGCAGAATTTGTAAGTATATCAGGATATCTGGGATGATATGGACTTAAAAATCCCTCATTTCTCAACTTCCTTGTGTCTGTAGATAAAAAAATAATGGGACCAACAGCCTCCAAGACCTGGAAACAAAAATTTGGAACTATAAACTGTTGTATCCTTATAACAATTAGTAAATTACATTTGTGATTAAAATGTTGGTAGAGGTATTTCCTTTTCTTTTTCCCTTTCTTTTAGAGGGGAGATGCAAGAATTTAAAGCATCCAGGAATCTTCCTAACCATATAGAAAACTTTTTTCAGGAAAATACTGAAAAAAGTTTATCATATTAGCTGGGGAGCTAAAGGATTTTACCTCTCCAATACGGGGGCTGACAAAATTTAGGTCTTCCTGTAACCCTTTCAATGGTGGATCATAAGAGTCTATGAATTGAACTAACCTGAAAGAAAAATAGAAAAATATTAAATGTTAAAATGCAATCAAAGTACAGCCAGAAACATACAAAAGTGAGGATGCCCTGGGCGACAAAAACCACCATAAACTATTTTAGCATAAAGGGGGAAGACAAACCAAGAAGCTTGGACCTGTCCCCCAACTTCTGTGTGAGATTAGATTTATAGCAGTATATGTTCTAATCTACACCAATCTCGAGAGACAAAAAATGAGATCCCAAAAGGTACTTCAATTATCAAGAATCATTTTCAAAACCTTTCCGTCTCTAATTCAAGCAAAATGACGGTAAACCTTCAAGCATACACAATCACTATATAAACTTGAAAGCTTTTTTTTTTCTTCGAGAAAGAAACCTTCAAGCTTTTAAGGAAAAGTGTAATATGTAATGAAAAACAAATGCTTTTCAAAGTTCATTATAACCAACTTAGTTTGCAGAACAATACAAGAAAGTTCATGAGTCAAATACTCGTCCTACCGATGATAGAAGTCACAGTCTCTCTCATTTCTTGATATGGCATGCAAAAGATTATACATTTGCAACATCAGTTTCCTGGGTATCTGTCATGAATGGTCACTTTCATAACATCAGTGATATTGAACAAAAAAGGTTGATATAGACAATTCATGACACCATATGTACATAATTAAGAAAAGATAACAATTCCCAATAAAGAGGATTGACAGAGAAATGGAAGAATACAGGATTGACAGAGAGAGAGAAAGTAACCTTGCCTTCTCAGAGAAAAGATTTACTCGGGCAAACGAACAAAAGAGATCCATAAATGCATGTAGAATAAGCGAGTTCTGATGGGGCTGTAAAACATTGTTCCAAGTTACTGAAGATGTTGTAAAGGAACCTAACCATAATGTTCCCTTTCCTCCGCCCAAGAAAAGTATTAAGAAAAAGTTATCAATTTTATATATGCTGACGCATTTCCAAAATTTAAACAGAGTCAACAGCCCTGCCCACAAGTCTCAAAATTAAAAAATTCTTGTTTTTAAGTTATCAACATTCCCAATAAGAGAAAAAGATTTAATAGGTGATGCCAGACTTACCAACAAGGTAATAACTGTGCTACTAAGATCCAATATGAGTCGAAGGGCTTGTTCTCGAAATGCCATCAAATCAAGAAGAAGCTGATCCAGGAAAGAAAAATGAATTACTAGAAAGATGAAACAAATAAATGATCTGTAAATAATTCAAAATAGAAGAACGTTTGGGATTGTTTGGAAAAATAGAGTAGGTGCAATCTAGTGCTCATTTAAGAAATAAGCAATTATCTATAAGGGGGGATAAAAAAATAAATAAATTTTATGGAAAATAGTCACGTATAAAGATTTAGGAAAATGGTGATTATGTTTCTTACGTAACGTTACTTCCAAAGACCTAGTAAGCACTCTTATGTCGTCAGTAAATGAGTAAATTAAAACAGATTGCTTAGAATTTCTTACCCGCATCAAATTACCAATCCCAAAGATGCTAGAATTTTTTTAATTTGCCATCATAATCAGAGAAGAAAATATCGGGCACTAAATCACTAATATCACAAGGAGCAAGCAGGATACAGGATCAGAGTAGAAAGTAAGTGAAACTTTCAGTTCATTATCATCAATATGATTTTCGTTTATCTTAAATCGTCCTGTACGGTTGCAAGAGAACTGTTTACCTGCACCCATGGCTCCAAGTTCTGTAAATGAACTTCTGCCCCATCATGCAAGGCATCCAGAGCAGCCTTATCAACCTGCATCAAATTTTTGTTTAAATAAATTAAATTTTATCATGAAAAGCAATGCTTAATGTTCAAACCTAAATTATTTCATTTCTTACACGTTCAAGCTGCAATTTGCTAAAGTGCTCCGGGAACTTTTTTGAAAGCAATAAACATATCTTTGGATGATTTGGGAAAACACCTGCTTTCCAAAATGCTTCAGAAAACAAATGATTAGCAGGATCAGGGTAGTCCAGGATTTGGTTTAATCTGTACATTTTTGCCATGAGGCCTTCTGCAACTTCAATAAGTTGAACCACCCACTGTATGTTCAAACCCTTACTGGACCCACCAGAACTCAGAACCTGCCCCTCAGGACCAACATTTCTAGAGCTCCGAGATGATGCTGAAGAAGTTAAATCTGGTCCCAAGTACTCAGTCCATCTTGATGGACCTTCCCAGTCTCTTGACCTTGCAGAAGTCGGGGACATCGATGCATCTTGGGGAGAAAAATATTGCCGAGATTTTGCCATGAATAATGCACTCACTACAACTGAAATCAAAATTTTGAATTAAAGACCATAGACTCTTTTGCTAGGAGATAATGAAATTTTGATCTACACGAACTTCTGTTACATCACCAAGGCCATTCGAATATTCAATTCGGGAATTACGAATTCCAAAACAGAAACCTAACGTATTTAAACAAGCAACTAAGGAAGCAGAGAGGCAAACAGGACAGAAAGGGATTAGTTCTTATCAGTAGATTTCATTCATTACCTAGTGTTAAAAAAAAAAGTGCTACTTCCGGACTAAACGCTGTGTGTCCCATCAGTAATTATCGCAATTTCATAAATTAAAAGGAAAGGCGCGAACAGACTTTATTAAAACAAGTGATAATGCTCTTTCTGGTTCCAAAGAAAGGCAAGAAAAAAAAAATCAACACTCCAGCCCCTAAAACCAATTTGTGCTCATTTTCAGCAACTAAGAACACAAGAAAAAAAGCAGGAATGAGGTCATCCGTTACGTCGAATTCCAAAAGAAATGAAAATATTTCTGACTACAAATTCAATTTCCTTTCACCGCATTTTCTCATCAACCAAAGAGCGGATAAGCACCTGTAGAGAGAGTATTGAGAGAGTACACTGCCGTAGACGTCCGAGCTTTGAACTTCAAACAGAGAGCAGCTTCAAATTACCTGCCCTTCATCGAGCTCAGATCTGAGAAAAAATCACAAGAAGACGAAGATGTTGAGAAAGAGAGAAGAAAGCAAAGAGAAGTTTGTTCGTTTTAAGGATGGAAGTTAAAGAGCTGAACAGAAAGCTTTCCGATTTTGAAACATCAATAAATTCGTTAATGGTTAAACAAGGATCTTACTTGCTAATTTAATTAGGAACTAAAGATATAATTCTCTTAACTTTTTTTGGGATTTTCTTTTTTCTTTAGGATGGAGATGGTGACACAGAGAAAGACAGGAGAGAGAGGAAAACGGGTACGCACGACGGATAGTCAGTAATGAATACGTACACAAGTCGACAGTGAAATTTTTACTTGGTAAAAAGAAAAAACATTGAAATTTTACAGGTCAATAGTGCAATTTTACGTGGTAAAAAGGAAAACAGTGAAATTTTTTTTACTGCGATCGTACTTCGTAATAAGGCAGGGGCGCATTGAAAATATTGGAAGCTAAAAATTATAGTTACGCTATGTTATGTATAAATTAATAATTTCTTTAACATTCTTAAAAGGATTTCTTTTTAGTAAATAAGACTTTGTGTTTAAGTTTGACCAAAAAATATTAAAATTTAAATTAAAATATTAAAATTAGAATAAATTACAGCAGTATCGTCTATAATTTGAATTGGCATGAAAATTACGATTCAAATTATATATTTTTAAAAAAAGTTCTGCACAATTTCATAAAATTATTATTCTTTTAAATTATTATTTTATAATCCTTTAATTCATTTATAAATACTATTTCTTTTAGCTTTGATATTTTACATATTCATTCTTTAAAATTTCAAGATACTAACAAAAGTATTTATTATCTAGTATAAACTGAAAAATCATATAATATCAACTCATTTGTTTTAGACTGATCCATATAGGAGTTGATCTTTGGTTTAAGAGATTACGAATGGAGAAGTTTGACATATTCTGATTCGAATAGAATAAATAAATGTAATATATATAGTAAACCTTAAAATCTAAAAAAAGCCAAAATACAAATTTAACATATATAATGTGTATGTATACGTAAAAATAGATAACGGGCAATTTTGGTTTCGAAATGGGTCAAACAGGAAGGAGAAACAGTTCGGGGTTCAGTCCGGACCATCCTCCATTTTTAGTTTTTGTTCTAACACTGATATGTGTGTGGGTGTGTGTGTGTGTGTGTATATATGTATATACATCAAGACTTACAAATTACATGATTAAATGGCTTCATGATAACCCATCATACCGTATTATTATATATAAAGATTTCCAATTATTGAGTCATCCCTTAGTAGTACAAACTAAAGCAATTAATTGATTATGTGGAGGGTATAATATGGAAGTTACTTATGGATTTGATGATAAGTTTATAATGTTATTTTATCTCATATTGGTGCAGTTGTTTACCAAAATCCATTCACTTCGTTGTGTTGGAAGAGAAGACAGACTTGGCTTTCACATTAAGTTACCATCATTATTGAGATCACATTCTTTCTTATGTATTAGGAAGGGGCAGGTGGCTAATAATAATTTAACTAAAATGATTTTATAAATCTAAAACATGTTATTAAATATAATCATTTCACTAATTACTGTTCGTAGTTAATACCCATCAAATAAAATTGCAATCCTGTAGGAAATGGTTACATCATGAAGACTATCATCATCAACAATATGATGGCAATACAACAATTTCTCCACATTGTTTACTTATACACATATTTCTCATGTGCTTCTTTTAGATATTATATTGAAAATGATGTCATTAATATTTGATGCTCACATAATCCACAAAAACCATACTATGATGGGAAGCATGTTGCATACGGTTCAAAACACCAAAAAATTTCAATCATCCGGTTCAGAAAAGAGCGAGCTTGAACAGTTGAAATGCCTATAACTAATTGCATTTACAAGAAGAACGCCATGGATCGCATGCCCTATAAATTTAGTCAAGTTTTCCCCTTAGCTGGCAGGTTCAAATGCTTCTTCAGCTTCATCGATTGAAGAACCAAGCTTAAACTCAGTGCAGCGCTCAAATATTCTAAACAAACAGCTTAGACCACTCTAGGCTGTATCTTCACTATTGGCTATCAACTAAGCTGCCAAGATTCTCTAGTTTTGTTTCTTTTGTTTCTTCATGGTGTTATTCCAGGAACATGAGGGACAGGTGGCTTTGGTTTCTTTATTTTTTCTACTAATACAGCTTGACTTGTTAGAAGAACTCCTGCAATTGAGACTGCATTTTGAAGTGCACACCTTGAAACCCGGCAAGGATCTATCACTCCTACATTGAGAAGATCTTCATATCTTCCTGTCATTGCATTGTACCCACTTCGCCAGTCACAATTTCGAGTCTTCTCTACTACAATAGTTCCATCAACCCCAGCATTATTTGCAATTGACATAGCAGGTGAAATAAGTGCCTGCAAATGAAGGAAAAGATTATTCTTTATCACTTCAAAAATCTATTCAAAATGTGAAAAAAGAAAAAGGTGCAACATAACCATACAAATAGAATTGCTTTGAACAATGGTATAACATTGCCAAATGGCTTTATAAGGTCCTCAGACAAACAGCCCTGTATCAATCTTTTGGGTATGTTTTTTGTTATGTTGTCTTGTTCCACCAGTAACAGTTAATTGGGGGGGGAGGGAAATGGATCTTCCCGGAACACTTGTTTCAAAATTAGATGAGAAACTTGAAATGTCTTCATAACTACCAAAAAGCTAAATCTTCCACCATGGACAATGAGTAGACAAAGCGATGTCCACAACCAGTAGAGAGAGAGGAGTCTGCCTTCCATGACAAAAAGATAAATCTTCAAGAAACTTCAACACTTATTCAGGTAACTTATCTTTTTTTAGAAAAATATAAAGTGTAGTATCAGAAAGAACCAATAGAGCGCCCATATACAAAAGCTTTACAAATCTAATTTGTATTGACCAAATCCCTAAATCCTAACTAGCATAAAGAGAATGATCCTTAATAAAAAAGCTCAATCAATATCAAGTCAAATCAAAAGAAAGATAGACTGCACCTTTGCTACAATATCAGCACCAATCTGTTCGTGTAAGTCTTCCATTGACTCCTTTATGTCAGGAATCTGATCTATGAGATGTATATAAGTGGCACCACCACCAGGCACTATCCCTTCATCCATGGCTGCAAAAGTGGCATTCTTGGCATCCTCGATTCTGAGTTTCCGATCCTCAAGTTCTATTTCTGTGTGTGCTCCAACCTAAATCATGGGTGCATCGCTTAACAGAGCTAAAACTATATATAAAGTCAAGAAACTCAAAACTCAGAGCACAAAATAAGTTTTCAAACTCCCACTTTAATTCCTGACCAGAAGCAATTAGCTAAATTACTGTCATGAAAATTAGAAAATTGAAAAGCTTAATACACTTCATGGTAGTTGAAGTCAACATAATAGTAATTGACCAAACAGCAGACTTCAAGCTCAAAATTAAGAGCACGCAGACCATAACAGCAGAAATGCAGGCCCACAATAAGAGGGCATTACAAGATATAGAAGCTTATAATGTAACTGACCTTAATTACCGCAACACCTCCCGAGAGTTTAGCTATTCGCTCAGAAAGTTTTCTTGAAAGATATGCATTATCTGTTTCACCTAAATCCTTCTTTATCTGCAAAATTCTTGCCTGGATTTCAGCTTTCATAGAAGGATCAGCAACTATTGTCGTTGAATTACTTGTTATAGTTACTTTACTTGCAATTCCAAGCTGATCTGAGGTTGCACCTAAGAGAGTCAGACCCAAATCTCCAGAAAGAAAGTCCGCACCTGATTACTATGACATGAAGTTAATCACATGAAGAAAAAATGCCCTTCTGTGATTAGAATTATGGATTTTCTTTCTTTCTTCATGTTTTCTTAGCTCTCAAAACGAACTGTACAAAACAGAAACAAGCAAGGAAATGGAATCCGAGCAGGGAAATGAAGGGATTTTGTGGGCTCTTCAAAAGCATTGTTATATTGCAAGGTTGATCAAAAACTACGAATTAACTGTGAAAAACGCTCACGTTTCCAATGTTCTGCATTCAAAATCACCACTATTCCCATAATTGCTCTCACCAAAATTGAGATTTAAGGGAAAAACTAAATTGAAGATTCAGCAGCAAAATTTCCAAAATTTCATAAATATCTCTGCAGATAAATCAGTAACTTCCATGCTCATATGTCGAACTATGTGGATTACTCAAGTTGGTTAACTGCATTACGTATTTTGCTCGTAATCTTGCTCCCAAGCAACGAAAGTTCTTCCCTTCTTCACAGATCTTCTACCTAACATGAGAATAGAGTTAATAAATGAACCTGGATAGTCCTCAGGGGTTTCCTCGCAATCTTGATAGAAAATGAATTAGGTTTAGCTTTCCTAAATAAATTATAAGTTATAATTCTTTTAAATATAAAAACTATTGTATTATTTAAAGTCTCTTATTATAATTTTAGTAACTTTAAGATTTTATCATTTTTAAGTATTTAGTTTCATATTCTTATTAATATTAGTATTTCTTAGTCTACCTCTATTTGAAAAGGCTACTTAACAAAAAAATATAAATAGCTTTGCAATCCATTTGTGGTGGAAGAACAATTATTCAAGGATAAATGGCTATTTATACCGATTAATACCACTAGCAATCTTCTGGATCATTTGGAAGGAAAGAAACAACAGATTGTTCGAGGGTATTAAAGCAAATTTTGCCAACATCAAGGATAAATGGCTACATCTTTTTTGTTCCATTTTTTTAGGACATAATATTGATTGTTATGATGATTTCGGTGTCATTGTAGATATCCTTACTAATTTGTAATTATTCAATAAAAAGTTCTTTGAGAATTTTCTCAATTTGGTTGGTTGTATAGTGCAATCAAATCTTTTTTTTTTAGATAAAAGTGTAGAAATATATTAATATGGGGTGCCAAGGGGGCGCCAAACCTATGTACAAAAGGATTTACAAGTCAATTAACATATCTATAATTGACCCTAAATTATCAGAATGGGTAATACTATGATCTAACACAATGGAACCAAAGATATGGAGCAATTTGCTCAAAATATTCCTAAAGGTGTCTTCCTTTCCTTCAAAAGCTCTGTTGTTCCTTTTTTTCAAAATTACCTAGAAAATAGTAAGAGGGATGAATCTGAATGTTTTGTTCTTTCTGCTTATCATTTCCCAAGCAAGTAATTCATCTTTGACAGTACTAGCTGCAACCCAAAGAATGCCAAGAAGACCGTAGACCATGATCCATAGTGAAGAAGTGATAGGACACCAAAGCAACAGATGTTACATGATTTTGAATTACTCTTGCACAAGTAGCGTCTGTTTTTTAGAGTAATGCCTCTTTTCATGAGATTGTCGATGGTAAGGATACGGTTTTTAGAGGCTTCCCAAGCAAAGAAGGAGATTCTTGGGGGTGCACTAGCCTTCCAAATCATTTTTGTTGGAAAAACCTGTTTGATCCTGCTGTTTTGGCCGACAATATGGTTATAGAAAGATTTGATGCTAAAAGAGCCACTTTGTTCAAAGACCATATCAGCTTGTCATCTTTATCACTAATTCTTATAGATTCCAGCATAGCCATCAAGTTATCAATTTCCTAACCGTTTAAATTCCTGTTCAGCACGATATTCCAACAATTGCCCGTGCTATTGTCAACCGCATGCTCAATGCGTATAAGTTTATCCTTGGCCAAAGCATAAATGAGAGGAAAAAGGGACTGCAAATTTTTGTTTCCACACCAGATGTCCGACCAGAATTGGATTTTATTTCCTCTGCTCACTGCCCATTTAGTGCATTTCATAACAGTTTTTTCCATACTAGAGATACTCTTCCATAGGCTCATTTCATGATTGTTGCAGTTCAACAGATTCTGGTTCAGACAACCCTTTATATTCCATTTGCAGTCCACAACTTTTTTCCACAAGCTATTAGCATCATTCCAATATCTGCATGCCCATTTTGCATGCAAGGCTTTATTTAAAGTCCTTATGGATCTCAACCTGAGGCCTCCATAACTGATGGGGATCTTCACCTCCTCCCAATTTACAAGATGGAATTTTTTCTTGTTTTCCTCATCTCCCCATAGGAATCTGCATTGTGTTCTTTAAAGAATCTTGGCAACCTTTGTAGGGATAGCTAGGACAGAAAGATAGAATGTTGGGAGGTTTGATAAGGTGTTTTTGATCAATGTTAATCTCCCACCGTTTGACAAGAAATTTCTCTTCCAACCAGCAAGGCGTTTATCAAAGATATCCAAAATTGGCTCCAAACTTTTAAAATCTTTATGTTTCGCGCCAAGGGGGAGCCCAAGGTATTTTATGGGAAGCAAAATTGTTTTGCATTTCAAAACCGAAACCAGAGGATCCACATCATTGTTGATCCCAAAACCCACCATCTCAGATTTTGACATGTTAATCTTTAAACCCGAAACAGCTTGAAAGCACAAAAAAATGCATCTAAGAGTAAGCAGCATGTTAACATCAGGTTGACAAAAATTAGGGTGTCATCAGCAAAGAATAGATGAGTGATCTCAATGTTTTCCTCTTTACCCATGTTGATTCCTCTTATCAGATTCAAGTTTCTTGCTTGCTCAATAAGCTTGTTTAAAGCTTCCATAACCATGATGAAGAGTAACGGAAACAACGGGTTGCCTTAGCGCAACCCTCTTGACCATGACAGCAAAACTAGTTATGGAGATGCAAGTTTTTAATCCATTTGCACCATTTTAAACCGAATCCAAAACGCTTGACCATATAGTCAATGAAATCCCAACTACCATTGTCGAAAGCCTTCTCCATATCCAATTTACACAACAACCTTCTTCTTTTATTTCTGTTAAGATCGTCAACCACTTCATTTGAAATCAAAATGGCATTAGAAATTTGCCTCCCTTCAACAAAAACATGTTGACAATCTCCGATGATAGACTTTAAAACTTTAAAGAACCTTCTAGTCAACACCTTTGAAAGCAATTTGTAAACACTACCCACTAGACTTATTGGTCTAAAATCGACAAAATAGCTAGCCCCTTCTTTCTTATGGATTAGGACAAGAAAGGTGGAGTTGATCGATTTAACAAAAGAGTCATTCTTGTGAAAATCATTGAAGAAACCAAGAATATCATTTTTCAACACATACCAGAATTCTTGGAAGAATTTTAGGTTGAAACTATCAGGTCCAGGTGTTTTGTCATCCTCACAATCTTTTAAACAGTCAAAAATTTCTTTTTTCGAGAATTTAGATTCTAGGATTGATCTATCAATGTTGTTAATCTTGTTGAAATAGATATTGTCGAGTTTCGGTCTTTATTCAATAGATTCTGTATATAAGGAGTTGAAGTGGTTTTTTGCAGCTTCCCTTATGACCTTATTACCGCTAACCTTTACAAAAAATTCCTCCACATAATTTAATCTTCTTTTATGGTTCGCTAAACAATGAAAGAACTTTGTGTTCTTGTCCTCATTCCTAATCCATTTTTCTCAGGCTTTCTATTTCCAGGATACTGTTTCCATATGAAGTCTGTTAGCAAGTTCCTCACGCAGGCTATTCCTTTTCTCGTTTTGTTCAGGGAGTAGCTCGGATTCACTTGCCATAAAATCCATTTCAGCCAATTCGTTCAACAAGTCATTTGTTCTATTTTCTTCTTTCAAACCAACTTCCTTGGTCCAAGATTTTATACTTTGTTTAAGTCTGATAAGCTTTTTAGATAGTTTGAAACTTGTCGTGCCACTTTCAAACTGATAATTCCATGTCATACTGACCATGGACTTAAAGTTATTCACTAGAGAAATCAAGAATCATGTCCATTTTCCACCTTTGAGAGGAATGTCTTCTAGCCCAAGGCTATCGATATTATCTTTGAAATTTTGGGCCACAAAAACGGAGAAATTTTTCCCTAATCGTTCGTTTTGGTGCATGACCATATTGAAATCACCAACCACCACTTTATTTACCATCTAACTTGACACTGAAGGAGCTCATTTCATAATTTCTCTCTATATAATGTATTCCCCCGACAGTAGATTGCAGAGAAAAACCATTTTTCTTTGTTTTTCTTGTTCACAAATAAGCAAGAGATAGATATTTCACCTTTTATGTAGTCAGTACATGCTACTATATCTGATCTCCAACAAATGAGGATACCACTAGCAGTGTTGTCTGCCGGAAGATAGAGCTAGTCAATATCTTGTAAGCCCCACACACTATTGACCGTAATCTTGTCAATGACTGCCAGTCTGGTTTCTTGTAGACAAATTAAATCCGGTTTCCATCGATTCATGCACCCCTTGATGATATTTCTCTTCTTTGAATCATTTAAACCCCGAACATTTCAAGATATGATTTTGTTAATCATTGATTTTCCTAGGTCTTTGTCCCATTGTTGGATGCTATTTTGTTTCTCCCTTTATAATTGATAGAAAAATGCAATCTTTTCAATTCGCGGGATCCTCCCTCAATCGGTTTTTTCTTTCCCTTGCTGGCTATCTCTTCGCCTTTTTTTTTTTTTCAAAGGTTTTTGTTTCCAACATGAAAAATAATGTCATCGCTTGCTCTTCGCAGCCTTCAAAAGTGACACCCAAGAGTTCACTAACTCTGAGAATATTTTTTCTGACCCATGTTGAGTAAAACTTCTCGTCGTAGTGGTTCACAAGTTCTGTTAGCTCCATCATTTCTATGGATGGTTCAACTACCAAGATAGGAGGTATATAGGGCACTGGTTCAGGAAGAAGAACCATGTCAAGGCCAGGACAATGAAGGAGATGTGGAGATTGGAGAAAAATCACCTGATGAAATCTTTTTGTCCCAATCATCCTCGGTCTCATTGGATAGAATAGTGAACTCGTTAGGTGAAAGATTGTTAGTCGTGGTACCCACAAGACTCAACGACGAAACATTTAGGAATTTTTTGGGAATGGTCTGTTCAGAGTGAGTTCCTTTTCCCTGTCAATGCTTCCCGGATGAAAAATAGTGATTGGGATTTTACCCATTAGAGAGTGGTTGATGCGGGTCGGGTGCTTGGGCCTCCAGACCTTTTTGAGCTTTAGGACTTTGACGCCGGGCTTTTTGAATTTCTTTGCGTCCTTGCTAGGCCCATTATAATTAGTTTTCTTGCCCTTTTCTGCCCTTGAGGATCTGGGCTTTGACCCATTAGAGTTATTCACCATGAATTTTGATATGGACGGATTCGCAACAGACTGGGTTTGAGCCAAAATTTGAAAACGGCTTTTTGTGTGTGTCAGAGATCCTCGATTATTGAACCTCATTTGAAATTCAAACGAATTTTGACGAGGGTCGGGTACAATCTTCTTCGCCTGGTTTTTTGACGAGGGTCGGGTACAATCTTCTTCGCCTGGTTTTTTGACGAGGGTCGGGTACAATCTTCTTCGCCTGGTTTTTTGACGAGGGTCGGGTACAATCTTCTTCGCCTGGTTTGTAACTTTAGGACCCGATATGCAATCAAATCTTGAAGTTTTATGCTTAAAACTTTTCAGGTATGATGCCTATAAAAACCTATATGTGATGTATGAGAATCTTTTCAATTTCTGGGTATGTAATGCAATCAAACTTTTACTATGACGCTCAACACTTCTTATGTATGATATCTAAGAATCCTAATGTGATACATTTATATCCTCCAAATCCCCAAGTAGGTAAATGAACCCCTAATTTATCTTGCATACACATGCCTCCTTCAGATGAATGAATAACAGTATCATTCCATCTCCTCTTTTCCTCTTTTGTCAACAAAAATACGGTGGAAGAGTAACAAGATTTAGGTAAAGAATCCAGAACACAACTCACCTGTCATAAGGGCAATATCCTGCAAAAGAGCTTTCTTTCCATCTCCAAAACCTGGACATTTCACAACAGCAACATTAAGTAAGCCTTGCATTTTGTTCACCACTAGTGTCTCCAGAACTTGCCTTGAGATGTCCTCAGCAATGATTAAAAGTGGGACACTCAGTTGATTAGTCTTTTCCAGTACAGGAATAATTTCTTTGACTGTTGAGATTTTTTGATCTGTCACCAACACTTTAGCATTGTCAAACTCCACAAGTGACTTTTCCTGGTTCGTAATGAATTGGGGTGACATATAACCCTTGTCAATCTGTAGGAAAGGAACATCCAGTTCTATTCAAAGAAAATAACAAAAATAACAATTATAAGAGGTTTTTTTTCCTCATTATGTCGAAAAGGAACAATTTTTCATAGAGAAAGAAGCATCTAATAAGAAAACAATGAAAGAGAACTTTCAAATTAATTCATATAGAACAACAAGAAGAACCTCATGTATGAGATATTGAAAAGAAAGCTCAGGCAAGCCAACCAATTAATTCTTATCACCATGAAGAAATACCTTCAAGTGAACAGTTTAATCATGTTGAATATTTGCACCTTTGACCCAATATTTCATAATTTAGCAATAGATAGAATGGTATAAGCATCCAAATGTTTACATTATAATCTGAGCCTAGCTTTGGTCTTGGAGATTGCTTGGCATTGATTTGCATGAGAACCACAAATGTGGAAACCAATGTAAAATTATAACCTTTTTATCCAAATTATCTATAGTCAGTCAAAGTAGATGACATTGATATTCCATGTTTTCCTCAAAATATGGAAAAATTATAGGATTTATAGCTGTAGAGCAGACTGGACTGCAAATATTCATGCATCTGATCCCAACCAGAAGGGTTTAACCCTTGAGTAAGTTGAACTAAATGGACTAAGTGCAGAGACTAAAAATGGAAACATAGCCTACTAGTTTATTTTGTAAAAGAAATAACTAATAAAACCTTCATTCCTTCTTCAACTATCAAAGAGGTTTCAAAGGACGAGGATGATTCAACAGAGATTACTCCATCTGGGCCAATCTTATCAATAGCTTCTGCAATCAAGTTTCCAACAAACTCATCGTTCCCAGCAGAGACAGAAGCCACAGCTGCAACAAGGTGAAAACTCTTAAGATTTCGACATTCTAAAACCAAGATTGGTAGAATTTTGGAATAAGTAGTATAAGTGACCTTTTATATCATGCCTCCCTTGGACAGGCATACTTTTCTTCTTCAAGACCTTGACCAACTCTTTAACTGTCCTATCCATTCCTTTCTTCACAGAAATGGGATTAGCCCCAAAAGAAACTGCCAGCAACCCAGATTTGATCATTTGTCGGGCTAAAATTATTGCAGTGCTAGTGCCATCTCCAGCCAAATCATTCATTCTACTTGCAACCTACAACAAACAAGGAACTTTAATGTTGTCACTTTGGAACACATTTTCAATTGCATCAGCTTAAGGGGCAGAGTTGTGTAGTAAACATGAACGACCTCTTGGATTAACATTGCTCCAGCATTCTCAATTTCATCTGGAAGCTCTATGGTTTTAGCAATTGTAACACCATCATTAATTACTTTTAGATTCCCAGACTCAGAGACGATAACATTACGCCCTGCATGAATCGACTAACAATTTAGTGGCAAGCTCATTTCATCTGAAATACCCATGTTAAACATGTTCTAATTAATATTGACATCTGACATCCTAGTAATACAATAAGGAAGACATCTGATTTTTTAAACAAAGTTGAAAATTTGAAAAATGCCCAGTTAGAGAAAACAGAAAACAATCGAGACCCAGATTACCTTTAGGTCCTAAAGTAATAGAAACAGCGTCGGCTAGCTTATCAATTCCAGCTTGCAAGGCCTCTCTGCAATCTCTCCCAAAAGCTATCTTCTTTGGCCCTGCTCTCACCATCACCATTTTCCTTGCCATTTGAGGATGGTCTCTCGTCAACCCAAACGCGATTTTCTTCTCATCGAGGTTCTGAAACATTATTTATACCTCAAAATAACAATTTATCCAAAAACATTAACTTTTAGATACTTATACGGATATAGAGAAAGAGGGAGGAACCCACATGAAAAAAAGCTCTTGCAGGGAAAAGTGATAGAGAGGACGCATGCATCCTTATTCAACTGAAGAACGTTCCTGGCCTTTCTTCCCCTCCAGTCTCTACGAAATCTTTTCTCCTGGAGTTCTGGGTTTTCTAAAAGGGTTTAACAGTCAAAGCGAGCAACTCGAACTCACGAGTAACGTAGTGTTACGGGATTTCTGAGAAATTATTTATTAATTCTCAAAATTTATTATTTGTTATAGTTTAATTTTTAATTTTTTTTATAATTTAATTAAAATATTTTTTTCTCAAAGTTCAGTTTAGTTTTAAAATAATTATTTCATGTTTAGATAATTTAAAAAGAGTTTAAAATAATAGTTTTAACTAATAAATTAAAATAATTAATTAGTAATAATATGAGGCTTATGTTTTATTCTTACTAATTTAATTAATAAATAAAAAATGATATTTGTAGTTATTTTTAAAAATATTTAAACATTATTTAACTATTTTAGTTTTTTCATTAAAAAACAAAATGAAATTATAAATTTGAAATTAATAAAAAACCACTAGGAATAAATTGCAACGAAAAGAAATTTAAAACTAAATTGTGACAAATGCTAAATTTTTAGAATCAGTATGATAATTTGTCATTATTATTATGATTAATAATTGAAAATATGTTTCCCTAAGTTTTTCCCTAAGTTTTCGCCGCAGGGAGGATAAATGCATTTGGTACTTATCTCTGGATGATAAATATTCGATAAAATCTGCATATCACCTGCTTGGAGGTTATCACTCATCCTCGATACATTGTGAAATGAATCTCTGAAAATACAAGTGGAAGTTGGAAATCCCGCCCAGAGTAAAAAACTTTATATGACGTTTACTATAAAAAGCTTTCTCGATAAAATCAGTCTTAAAGAAAAGAGATATGGAGTTGGAGACAGGATGCGCAAAGTGCAGGTTGGAGGAAACTATTATACACGCCTTTTATGGAGTATGACAAAGCAAGGAATTGATGGTGTTAATTGGACTTAAAATTAGCAGAGGGGATATCAGGGACCTGTATAGCTGGGTAGAGGAAAAAACCAAGATGTTGTCTAAGGCCTACTTTTGGAGACTTTGGATTGAACGTAATGAGTTGTTATAGTTGGGTAAAGTTTTTGCTGATCAGGCTACTGTTTACCTTGTGCAAAAATTCTTGGCCGAATGGTGATATGCCCAGTACATCAGAAGACGAGGGGGTATACAAGGTATAGGTGTAAGCTCTTGATAATGCCTTAAAACGACATTATTATAACTCATTTTTGGGTTGTTCAACTTGATACTATGCTATCTAATTCGAGCTATTTTTTATGTTTTGTTGCATGACAAAATATAAGAATGAAACGAGAAAAAATAGCATGAAAATAGGAAGAGTTCATGAAAAGAGTCATCAGGCCAAAAACAAGTCTTGGGCAAGACTTGGTCTAGCAAACAGATAACTTAACCTTGGGCAAGGCTTTAGTCACACACAGTAGCAGATTTAAATTAAAACGTGCACTTTTCAAATTCGAAAAAAAAAATCATTTCAGCCAAGATCTGGGCCGAACATCAAGAGAAAAATATTATGCAAAGCTTGAGATAAGCCAAAAATAAAGAAAAATGATCCTAATCAACAAAAGAAAAAACTCTATCCTCCTTTTGCTATATAAATCGCGACTGCTAACCAGAACCATCATATCTCTTCTTCCCGACACCGCACACAATAGCTTCTGTAATTTTTTCTTCTTCATTTTTCTTCTTTCCTTTACTCTCCAAGAACTCATTTGTGTTAAAACGTCCACTATGAGTGGCTGATTTATTTTTCTTTTCCTAATTGAGATTTGGTAAACTCTAGTGATGTATTTGTGAGATCAAATTGAGTTAATTTATGTTTTATTTAAAATTTAGTTTTTATTTACTTCCTACACCTATATATATTTGTTGTTTGTATCATTTTTAATAGGGCTCCTCATACATGAAGAGAAACCACAAACAACTAATTGAACTCTTCAAATCCATAATTATTTGAGTAGTTTCGATACTTAATAGTGATTAGTGTTGCACTGAGGAGGTAAGTCATGTAGTTGACTGGTTTACACGGATGAATCCAATAACTTGAATCAAGTCCTTCTAGCTCTCAAGGTTGTTGACAAGTTAAATCTTGTGGACATTCCCAGGACTGCTTGGCAGTGAACAACCAACTAACGAACATTTCTTAGTTAGTTTAGGAATAAGGAAGGATTGATTGTCAGAACATTTCCGACAACTATAACTGATTTGCTATAATTTAAATAAAATAAATCATTGCATCTATAATTAATTACCTTATTAGAGCTAGTTATTTTACCAACTATGAATTCTTCTTATAATTTTTTTACTTTTAACTTGCAGTTAAGAGTTTATTTAATATTATTCTGCTTATTACTTATTTTATATTTTGTGTATTGAGTTTTATAAAACTCACTATTTACTTTTCATTTGTTGGTTAATGAAGAAAATTAGTTTCAAATTCCTTATGGATTTGACTATTTTTACCACTACTACAATTCAGTTTTATTGATTAATTATGATTTTATTTTTGGTGGACTCGACACCAATCAAATTCCATCAGATTTTGGTGTCGTTGCCGAAAAATTGAGATTTACTAATTATTTTCCTTTTTATGACCAGGTTTGATCGTGGAGAACCTATTCTTTACGATTTAGAAATCGAGAAAACTGCCAAGAGCATAGGGAAACAAACCAAGCTCAAGAGGAAAACATGTCAACAGAACACATGTTTTGCAAAAAAGAATAGAACAGTAAAAACATAAGTAGAAAAAAGGCCTATGGCCGAGGAACACACCTTGAGATAGTTGGCAGCACCGCCTACCAACCAACAACCCCTCTTCATCACTTATCCAGATATAGACGTAGCTTTCGAGGCAAAATTTGGCCTAATTCACTTACTGCTAAAATTAAGAGGTTTAGAGAATGAAAACTCGCATAAACACCTCAAAGAATTTCATGTCGTGTGCTCAAGTATGAAGCTGCATGGAGTGTCCGAAGAGTAGATAAAATTGAGGGCATTCCCTTTTTTCTTGGATGATGCGGCCAAAGAATAACTATTTTACCTATCTCCCAGATCAATCATGACATAGGCAAAGATGGTAAAAACCTTTCTAGATTGCTTTTTCTCTGCTTTTAGAGCTGTTAAGATAAGGAAGGAGATATGTTGGATCAAATAAAGAGATTCAGAAAGTCTCCATGATTATTGGAAAAGATTCAAACAGTTGTACGCAAGTTGCTCACAACATGATATCTCAGAACAATCTCTCATTCATTATCTTTATGAAGGACTGCTGCCCACAGAAAGAAAAATGTTAGATGTAGCAAGTGGTGGTGCCATATTGGACAAAACACCTCGAGAAGCTAGAGAATTGATAACGATCATGGCCACCACTTCGCAATAGTTTGGGAACATGCGAAACACCCCCAAAAGAGTGAATGATGTAAGTATTTCTTCTCTTGAATTCCAAATTTCTAAATTAACTCATTTAGTGAAAAATATGGCTGCAGGGAATAACCATCGAGCAAAGGTTTGTGAAATTTGTGCTCATCCTAGATATCATACTAACGTGTCCTACACTTCAAGATGATGACTAGCAGCAAGTTAATGCGATTGAAAGATTCTCTAACCAACTGTAAAAGATAGATCGCCCTTATTCCAACATGTACAACCCATGATGGAGGGATTATCCTAACTTTGGCTATAGAGTAAAACAACAAAATTTATGACATATCAACAAAGACCACCTCCATAAGAACAACCAGTACC